TAGCAGGACCAAGACTCTGGAACGAGTTACCTCTGCTTGGCAGACAGGCCCCCTCCCTCTCGGTTTTCAAGTCCCGTTTAAAAACTCACTACTATTCAGTAGCTTTCAACACCAGATGATCTGTGTTTTGATCCTGTATGCTCCACACTGGTTTGTCGTCATTATCTGCATCGTTTTTATGTCTATATTCTGATTTACCTCATTTTGTATTTTGCTTTGTGTGTTACCTGTTGTTTTGTCTGTACAGCACTTTGGTTGGCCTTGTCGCTGTTTTAAGTGCTCTATAAATAAAGTGGTATGGTATGGTATGGTGACTGCAGGTGGATTCGAACCCCGAACTCTTGCATTGGAGGACGACTGCTCTAACCACTCAGCCACAGCCGCCCCGATCCAAAATCCAAAGCTGTGTGTCGACGTTGTTTCACGGAGAGTGGATCTGCAGCAGCAACACGTCTAACTTGTTAACACACTTGAAACGACATCATCCCAACGTGAATGTCTCTTCTACAATCAAGAAAAGCAGCTTGTTACAAAGACCGATAACAGCAACTTTTATCAGATAATTCAGATAGGTCCAGAGCAATAACACAAGCTGTAAGAGTTTTTAAAGCTCTGGATTTATGTTTTAGTTGTTGATGCACCGGCTTTAAAGTTATTGAGCCTCACTATGACATCCCATCACGTCAACACTTCAGCCAAATGTTGTAGCAGCACTTCATGAAAAAGCTAAAACTGATCGTCAACAAGCCCTGGACCAGATTAAAGCCCTGTCCTGATGATGATGATGAGCGAGAGATTCAACCATCTCATAACAACCGTTCAAGAAGAGGTATTGTTCTTTTATTATTATTATCTAATTAACTTTTTTTAATTTAAAATTATAATCTTATTAACTCATTTTTGTACCTCTTTGTGTTTTATTTCCAGTCTGGGACAGAGATAGCAGCTGAGTCTTCTTCCTCTTCAGGGAAATCCACCAGAGATCACCTCCAGCTAAGAAGACTGTGATGACTGAACTCTGAACTTTTCCAGGGGCGAGCAGGTCCAAGAGGTTGTGAGTAATGATGAGGCCAAATACAGCCACACTGCAAAATTATCAAAGCTCTACCTCTTTATTCCTGCCACCTGTTGTGAGTGAGAAGATTTTCTCGACCGCTGGAGATATTCACTGCAACTACTGTAGATCTGTGATTTTGACAGAAAATGTGGACAATTTGGTCTTTGTGGACAAAAACTTAAAACTTGACTAGTTGGATTGTAAACGATCTGTTGCTGCTTATTGTTCTGGTTCTGACTGTTATTGTATTAAATATTTTTATTATTGTTAGTACGGTTTATTTATTGTAAAGAGTGCTGTTTTTTTTAAATGTCATCCAAATGGGTCGATTTTATTTATTTTAATACAAACGTATTGTTTACTTGGCATATTTTCAAAATAAACATTTTGCAAGTCTTTATTTTGTCTTTTTTTGTACTGAAAATTACCCGAACCAAGCCCTCCTTGAAATTGAACCGAACCGAAATGTGATTTTAGTGTACCGTTATACCCCTAGCATTGAAGTACTTGTACTTAGTTACATCCCACCACTGCTTATTTCTACCAAGCATGATACTGTGCCTGTTTGGAATATCTTTGAATACTAATCATTCTCTTTGGATTGTAAATGCTTTTCCTTCATTGGCTATGGAGGTGTCATCAAACATCTGTTTCTTCAAGCTGAGCCCAAATGGTTACTTGTTGATGACCTGTTGAGTGTCACTGTTGATGCCATTGGTTTCCTCTTGCAACTCTTGGATTTAGTGCAGCAATTCAATGGTCATCTGGACTGACATTGACTCCCAAGTAGGATGAGGAAGGTCTCTCCTGACCATGACCTCTGACACTAAGGTAACCTTTCTTTACAACCCTGAACTGGTTTCCTTTGTTTAATGTCTGATGTTTTCACATATTCACTGTTCGTGGTCATTTAGGGTCTGTTTACATGATGCATACTTTGAGTGAATCTGTAGCTTTTCCTCTGCAGTAATCAGCTAGTCTGACTAATGATGGATCTCAGGAATCCACATTTGCATTATTCAAAGATGTTTATTTTACAATTCACACAAGAATAATCAAACAAATAAAAGTACAAATGATAGATCAAACAAACAATACATAAACAAAAAGTGCAACTAAAAGTGCAAATCAAATATGTCAAACAAAATGTGTTAGAACAATATTCTCGTTCACTAACATTGTTTACTCAAAAGTACCACAACTCAAGGCGGGTAAATGTTTTTAATTGGCTTTTACTAGCAAAGGCCACATTCAGGACAAGTTACATACTAAAATACATATGCATGAAGACAAGTCACAGAACGAACCTCGAACAGAGTCATCTGCAGACTTTTTTAACACTTCAGTGCAGTGGAGTTTAGTGGGCATTCACTCGTCCTGTAGCCAGCTGCAGTCCTAACCTACAAAAGCACACAGACATGGTCCATGGCCATCAGAGGCTCCACGAGTCGGCCTCCTGCTCAAAAAAATACATTGTTTTGGGAAACAGCAAGTTCTCAAGCAGGAGGAAAAGATGTTCTCAGCCATCTCAAATACCTGTACAAGTCAGCAAAACCAACCACACTGTAGTTACAGTTCTTAATGCTTAATGCTACACTTTTGCTAAGATCTGATTTTTGTTTTTTATTATTTATAAACTGGTGACCTTTCAAACACAGGCTCTTCTCTAGCCTCTGTACCTCCACTACCCCCATGCATGGTTGTTAACAATATAATTTAACTTCAGTCACCTTGAAACTCCAGTGTGAACACTCTACGGCCCTGAAGCAAACCGCAGAAGAAAAGTGTATGAGTGCAAGGATTCAGATTATTAACCTGAGTGATTCAGTAACACACTAGCTTCATTCATGTCTACCACCTCTGCAGTGTTTGTCCCAGTCACTGTTGAGAGCTGACATTTATCAGTTGTTTCTGTGCTTTAACTGCTGTTGACAGATACTAATAACTTCTACTTAAAGCATAATTGCTGTCAAAATACACAATTTCCCAATGATTTTGATTTTAATATTTTAACACAATTTTTACATCATTAAACAATTGTTTGGGGGTTAATGCAGTTCAGACTCATTGGAGAAAAGCGAATATTCCTTACATTGTTTGACAACTAAATTTAGGACTCAGTTACGATCAGTTACAGAAATTTCCCTGTTAGAACCTGTCAAATCGTGTCAAATCTTTTTCAGAACCATTTTGACCTTGATGTTCTCAGGGTGTTTCTTTGAGGAGCAAGTTGGCCATCTGGCCTAAAACATTTGATTGTTGTACATGATGATTGATTGTTTTGGACGGATGGTCCCTTTTTGCATGTGTAAAGCCAGTTTCTGTGAATTCCACAGATGGTTGGCTAGAAACGCATCAAGGAGATGCTATTTATAAGACAGATCTTGTTGGCAGGCCTCAGACTGACAAAGTCTTTCGGATGAAAGACAAAGGGTTTCTCCCAAAAAGAAACTGTCCAGATGACCTGATTTAACCTTTTTTTATTATTCCCTGTTAGACTTTGGAAGATTTCAACACGGCTCATGTTGGAGTACTTTTGTTTGCCTAGTGGAATGTACTTTTGTTTCCCACAATGATATGAGATGCATGCAAGGTTCTTATCACCACCAAATTTCGAAGGGAAGTTTCAACTGAATCTAGCGATAAGACATTATTGGGTAGCCTACGTGGAAAGTAGGGTGTGCATTCACAGGAAGTACGAGTCGTGTGTATTCCAAGCAGAGAAGAACACTTCCCCCATTACAGTCTGTATCAACAAGGAGAAACAAGAGATGTGGGGAGACACACGAGAAGGCTACAAATGATCTGTGTACAGATCTTATTGTTCCGTATTTTCCTAACAGGGCATTTGGCTCTCAGACTGCAGGTTTACTTATGGTTCCTAGAGTTTCCAAAAGCAAAATGGGAGGAAGATCTTTCAGTTATCAGGCTCCTCTGTTGTGAAACCAACTTCCAGTTTCTGTCCATGAGGCTGACACATTGTCTAGTTTTAAGACTGGACTTAAGTCTTTCTTTTTTGATAAATCCTATAGTTAGGGTTGGCTTGGGTTTCTTGACCTGTTCCTTAGTTATGTTGCTATAGGCTTAGACCGCTGGAGGACAAATAGACCTCATTTTATCAAATTAATAGTTACAAATGAATACAAATGAACAGTTTGTATTTATAGTTATTTCTATTTAAAACTTTTTTTTTAATCTTTTCTCATAGTGAGCGACTCCTCTGCTCCATTGCTCGCCTCCATTCTGGACATGCCATTGTGTGTACTTTTCTCCTTCCTGTCCTCTCAAACCCAACCTGTTGAAGCAGATGTCACTTGTCCTGAGCCTGGTTCTGCTGGAGGTTTCTTTCTGCTAAAAGTGAGTTTTTTTCTTTCCACTATCTCCTTTGTGCTTGCTCAGGATGTGAGACTGTGATGAAATCAACACATCTGCTTCCTTCCTTAGATAGAAAACTTTACTAATTGACATTTATAATGTATGTGGATGTGTCTGTTCAGTGACCTGAGATGACTTGTGTTGTGACTTGGCGCTACATAAATAAACTGAACTGAATTTACCAACAAAATCCATGCTCAATAATCCAGGTATGCAATCCAACATTTTTCAGTCAGGTCATCTGGACAGTTTCTTTTGTTGCTGAAACGTTTCACCTTCCATTCGGAAGGCTTCATCTGTCTCTCTTCACCAGTGAACTGAATTTAAATATTTTTGAGAGGGTTTAGGTTTAGAGGTCCGTGCTTCAAGATGCTGTTTGAATGTTATTGTGTGCTATGTGAGCGCTATTTGTGCTCTTCAATAAACCTCAATTTTTGCTGTCAGTGTCTTCTATTTTTTTACTTAATGATCTGATCACCTGTTGAACAAAGCCTGAGCTACCATGTCAAATGATCTTAGCTTAAAATTTTGCTTTAACACGCTCACTGCTAGAAAAGATGAACCTTCATTACTCAACGTCTAACAGAACAACTGAGGAAGATAACAATGTAGAGTCTTTGTCAAACTCAAACGTTTGTCCAAAGCCAAACGCAGGGTAGAGAGGTTCAGTGAAAGTGGTCTGAAAGGTGTGTAGAAGATCCTTTTTTATAGAAGAAACTACCCCAGGGAAACTGTAGAAGGACACGGTGCCTGCAGACCAGTCCAGATAGACCCCTATCCTGTCAGAGTCAAGGGCTGACACTGGGATTCTTCTTGACAGTGTGTTATTGTGCCACACAGAGACAGAATGGGATGTGCAGAAAAGACTCCAGGAGTGATCGTTCCACCCAATGCAGCACTCCTCACTGTCTCCTTTCCTTTTGATTCTTTTGTATGCCACTCCTATTCTAACACTTCCTTTCCATCGAACCTCCCAGTAGCAGCGACCAGTGAAACTCTCGCTGCACAGAATCTGCTTCCAGATGTCAAACCTCTGTGGATGATCAGGATATGGCTGCTTCTCTTTCACCACCACCACACGTTTGTTGAGCTCTGACAGAGAGAGGTTTCTGTCTGCTGTGTTTACATCCAAAGTAAGTTCACGGAAAACTAAAGAAACAAAACAGAACAGCAGTTTGAATTTTATTTAATTTTTTTTACAAAGAACAGCTATTTAGTTAGATTGATCTATACAGCCTATATGTTATTTGAAATGTATATTTGGCAGGATAACACCTGAAACTAACTGTTATACTCAAAGATAATCATATAAAAATCAGAAAACAAGACATAGGTCACCATTAGTTTAGTCCGTTTAAAAATGTCACAAACTAATTTTCAACATTTAGCTCACGTTCTGATTGTTATTACCTTCTTAACAATATTTTCACTAACACTTCATTCTTATTTAGCTTAATTTCCTCACCTTATACTCACATTTCCTTTCAACAATTCCATTGTTTGTGTGTGTGGGGTATAAGTGACGTGCAGTGAGGTTTGTGAAAGGTGAGGCTGACTCGTCTGGAATCTGATGCTCACATATATGAACCCAAATTAGAAGTTTATATTTCAATTTAGCTTTTTTTTTTCCTTTTAAAAGGCTCCTAATTATGCTTTAATCAACTTCATACTCCTCTCTTTTTAAATAATATAAAAAAATCATGTATTATCTTACCATTATTTTAAGATGGGGCAGCACGGTGGTGCAACTGGTGGAGCTGCTGCCTCTCAGTGAGCAGGTTACCCTGGTTCAAATCCCGGTCCAGGGGCCTTTCTGGGTAGCAGGACTCACTGGTGTCAATGTCCAGCAGTCACTGTGTGAGAGGCGGGGGACACCCTGGACAGGTCTCCAGTCCATCACAGGGACACATAGAGACAAACAACCATTCACTCTCTCACTCACACCTAGAGACAATTTAGAGTTACCAATCAGTCTAACATGCATGTTTTTGGTCTGTGGGAGGAAACTGGAGTACCTGGACAAAACTCACGCATGCACGGAGAGAACGTGCAAACTCCACCCAGAAAGGTCCCGGGCTGGGATTTGAACCGGCGACCTTCTCGCTGAGAGGCAACAGCTCTACCAACAAAGCCACCGTGCTGCCCTCAGCTTTTACATTTAACGTTTTTTTTTTTTTGTCATTTAACTGTTTATTGGTATTTTTCATAATTGTTTACATATACAATGTACATGAACACTTCACTTTCAACATAACATAACTTAAAACTTAACAAAAAACACTAAAAAAAAAAAAAAAAAAAAACTTTTGCTTGGGAGTTATTCCTCTATTTGACCTTTATCCCACCTAGTTTGTCCAGTTCTTTCTTTAGTTCTTGTCACTGTCTATTGTCCTGAATGTTGTCCATTTCATCCACTTTTCTTCCATTTGTGTTTGCTGGAGTCCCAAACGATGTGTCAGTTTTTCCATAATGTAGATTTCTTCTATTATTCCAGTCCACTGTTCTTGACAAGGGGGGTCAGCCTTTCTCCATTTCCTCGTAATAGCCTTCTTGCTAGCTATTAACATTATCTTAATCAGATACCCGTCTTTTACCCTCACTTTGGTATTGTTAAAATTGCAGAGATATAGTACCATGCTACTCATAAATATCATATCCCAAAACCTTCTTCACAGTTTCATGTACATTTTTCCAAAATTGAACAATTTTAGGACAGTTCCAAAATATGTGAGAGTGATCTGCGTTCATTGATCCACAGTTCCGCCAACACCCTGTGTTTGTATTCTTATATCTATTCTTGACTTTAGGCGTGAGGAAAAATCTTATTGGATTTTTCCATGTGAACTCCCTCCATATCCGTGAATTGGTGGATGTCTGATGTGTTTTCCACATGTCTGACCAATCTTCATCTGTAATTGTCATGTTAAGTTCTGATTCCCACTTTTATTTTACATACTTAGTTGAATGTTTATTCATCATCAGTTTTTGGTATAGAGTAGAAATGATTTTAATTTTCGTTCCACTGAATGATTTTATCACAATTTCAATCGCACCATTCACTTCCACAGAGGGATCCCACTTGATTTCTGTCCTGTAGTAGTCTCTCAATTGCAGGTACCTGTAAAATTCGTGTTTATCTAAATTATACTTGTCTTTCATTTTTTGAAAACTCTCCAGCTCTCCCTCTTTCTGAAGGGTATCAGAATCAGAATCAGAATAAACTTTATTGGCATTGCACCGAGATACAATGCGAATATGTATGTACAGTCGTCCGAAGATGGGCGGACTGCACAAAGCTGCATCTAAAAATAATCAGCGCGGCCTTCTTATTCTTATTCAGAATAATGTTTTGCTTAGATAAGAAAAGGAAAGAAAACATGAGGAGAGATGGTATAAAAAAAATATCTCTCACACCGTGTCCTAGACAGGGCACAATTTGAGGCATCGAAAAAACCTACCACAGCAAAGCAACATAAACAGACATTATACATGTACATATAGACGGTGAAAACATTGAATTTTTAAGGGAAAGTCGTAGCATAGTCCAGAGCCCCACCCCCCACCCCCACCCCTCAGCCATTGTCCAGATAAGAGGTGATACCATCCTGTGACCCCCTTGCTTATCCATTGTTTGAACCCTTTATCATACATTGCTGGTATGAAATCGCTATCATATGCTACCCATCTGAGCACTTTCATTTCTTTCTTTATCTTGTGTTTTTTTTTATGTTTTGAACCATAATTCCAGTGTAATTGGATCCATGTATTTCTTGATCTTCTCATATCTATCTTCTTCCCCAGTAACACTTTGAATTGGGTATCCTCCGAACTCTTTTTCCATATCTTTCCACTTAGCTATGTAGTCTGGTGTGCACCAGCATATAACATGTCTGAGCTGAGCTGCCCAAAAGTACTCCCTTAATTTTGGTAGACCCATACCCCCTTTATCTTTCAGTAGCTGAAGAGTTTCATATTTAACTCTAGGTTTTTTGCCACCCCAAATGAATCTTGATATTATCTTGTCCCAGATCGCAAACTGAGTTTGAGGGACATCTATTGGTAATGACTGGAACAAATATAGAAGTTTTGCTTGCACATTCATTTTAAGTATTACAATTCTTGAGTTCAGATCCAAGGGCAAGGTACTCCATCTATCTATATCTTTTTGTATTTCTTGGCTTATTTTGTCATAATTTGCTTTGTACAGTGTTGATAATCCTTTAGTAATGATAATCCCTAAGTATTTAATTTCCTTCATATTCCATTTGATGGGAAATGATTCCTGAATTTCTTTCGTTGGTATGTAATTGAGTGTTAGAATTTGTGTTTTTGTTATATTAATTTTATATCCTGAAAGATAACCATACGTTCCAAAGAGATTCATCAGCACTGGTAGCGATTCATTTGGTTGTTCAAGGAAAGTTAATACATCGCCTGCAAAAAGGCCTATTTTGTGTTCCTCTCCATTTACTATAACTCCCTTAATTTTATTGTCTTGTCGTATTGCCTGTGCCAGAGGCTCTATAAAGAGGGCAAACAGTGTAGGTGATAGACAGCACCCCTGTCTGGTTGATCTTTGTATGTTGAATTTGTTAGTCAGGCTTCCATTTATTTTGATTCTCGCTGTGGGGTGATGATATAATGTATTTATACATTGTACTGATTTATTACTGAATCCAAACCATTGTAACGCTTTATAAAGAAATTCCCAATTTACTAAATCAAATGCTTTTTCTGCGTCGACACTTACTAGTATGGTACTTTGTTTTTTCTGCTGCGCTTGATCTACTATATGTAGTACTCTTCTAATATTATCATGTGTTTGACGTCCTCTCATAAAACCTGTTTGCTCTTCTTCTATAAATTCTGTTACAAAGGTATTTAATCTATTAGAAATAATGGTTGTGTATATCTTATAATCTACGTTTAATAATGAAATTGGTCTATAATTGCCACATTGTTCCTTATCTTTTTCTTGTTTTGGGATAACTGAGATTATGGCTTCACTCCATGATGGAGGTATTTTATTGTTATTGAGTGTCCAATTGAAAGAAGCTGTGAGTACTGGCGTCAACTCTTCTCTAAACATCTTATACCACTCTGCCGGGGATCCATCACTGCCTGGCGATTTATTATTTTTTAATGTTTTTATTGCCTCTTTCACTTCCTCTATTGTGATTGTTGCTGTCAGTGTCTCATTTTGTAGTTTGCCAATTGTTGGTAAATCTAATGCGCTTAAAAAGGTTCTCATTTCTTCCTCAAGTGCAATTTCAAGTTGTGTATACAGTTTCTCATAATATTCTCGAAAAATGTCCTCTATTTCCTCTGGCTTTTCTGTTAATTCACCTGTGTGTGGGTTTCTAATTTTATATATTGTATTAAGTGTTTGTTGTTTGCGTATACGTTTAGCTAACAGTTTAGCTGCCCTTGAACCTGTTTCGTAATAATTCTGTTTCAGAAAAGTGTTTCTTTTTTCAATCTCTCCCAGTAATATGTCATTTATTTTGTTTTTAACTACCTTGGTTTCTTGGTATACATTTGGGTCCTTTGTTTCCTGATATTCCTGCTCTAATTCCCTAAGTCTCTCCGTATTTGCCCTGTATGTCTGTAATTTAATTATTTTATCATGCGCAGTTTCAGCTATTAACTTTCCCCTGATGACTGCCTTCATGGCATCCCATAATATTGTCGGGTCTACTGTTCCATTATTATTTTCTTCAATATATTGTTTTATTTCTGCTTTTATCTTTTCTCTCTGTTGTTCACTATTCAATATTCCTACGTTCAGTCTCCATACAGTATTTTGTTTCCTGTTACTTAGACATATCTTTAAATAAATTGGATTATGATCAGAAACATCTGCCACTCCTATCCTGCATTCCTTCACTCTGTATTTGTCATCTACCTTGGTTAAAAAATAATCTATTCTTGAATGTACTCCATGAGCAACCGAGTAATGTGTAAAATCTTTTCCTAATGGATGTAGGCTTCTCCATACATCTATCATTCCCCTCTCTTCTAATGAGTCATTTATAAATTTTGCTAGATGCATTTTAGTTTTTTTGTGACTCGTTGTGTCTATATTATGGTTCAAGACTACATTTAAATCACCTCCACAAATTAGAATTCCTTCTGTTTCTCATCCATCC